AACCCTAGACCCCAAACCCCAAAGCCTAAACCCGCCACCGGCCTCGTAGGTGGCCTTATGCAGCGAGCCCATCAACTCCATCTGGTAGGTCCCCTTCGAGACAACCTGCCCAATTCGGGATCTTCAAGGGGCTTAGGGTTTTGGGTTTTAAGGTCTGGGGTTGTAGGGCTTTGGGTTTCAGGGTTGAGGCTTAGGGATTTATGGATTTATGGATTTAGGGTTTAGGGTTTAGGGTTTAGGGTTTAGGGTTTAGGGTTTCGGGTTTCGGGTTTCGGGTTTAGGGTTTAGGGTTTAGGGTTTGGGGGCTTTGGGTGTTGACGAATCTGGGGCTTAGAGTTTCCCTGGGGGCCTGGGGTTTCGAGTTTACAGCTTACTTGGAGGTTCATGGGTAGTTATGAGTGGGGCTATAAGTAAGGTAACTATGGTAAAGACCCATACTAGGGGACTTCTAAACATACTTATACCTACCCATGAACCTCCAAGTAGGTCTCGGAACCTTCGAAACGACGGTCTTGGAAACCCTAAACCCTAAACCCTAAACCCTAAACCCTAAACCCTAAACCCTTAACCCTAAACCCTAAACCCAGTGCCAAGAGCTTGGATGCGAAGGATTTCCAGGCTCCAACTTTCTGGGGCTCGCCGTAGGGTGTCTCTGGCCCAGGTTGCAGCAACCGCCATGGTTTAAGGTTTTTGCGGTCTAGGGTTTAGGGTTTAGGGTCCAGGGTTCAGGGTTTAGGGTTTAGGGTTTAGTGTTTAGGGTTCAGGGTTTAGGGCTTTTGGGTTCACAACCCCGAAAGTCAGACCTGCTGCACAGATCTAGTGACTTTCTGTGGAACCATTCTTCCCCTGCGGGGAGTTCTTCTTCTGGTAAAAAAACGTGGTTATCACAGGGTGAGGTCCACAACGGCCATGGATATGCGCACCGAATTTAGACTTTTCCCACACCACACGCTGCAGTGACGTAAGCTTCTGTGCACATTGCGTCTGAGCTAAGATGCTTCTGCAACTGGCTGTAGCCTAGAATGCCTTGCTTCTGGCGTGAGCCACATCCGCTACATCAACGGTTCCCATGTTCAAGCACATGCTCCACATATGCAAACTTTACGCAGAAGGGTGGCATGGGCATCAACACTTTCCTAGTCTTAGTCCGTCCTCTCCTCGCAGACCTCTAGCCTAAACCCTAACCCCTTAGGGTTTAGGGGTTTAGGGTTTAGGGTTTAGGCTTCGGGTATAGGGTGTAGGGTATGGCGTCGAGGGTCCACTTAGAGGCTTCTGGGTTGAAGCTGGGGGGAACTCCTTCCCGCACCCGGCTGTGTCCCAGGCCTTAAAAACCGACTTGTCATGGTTGAACTCCTGGTCCCAGATCATACTTGCGCCGATGATTTCACCTCTCAGCTGTGGCTTTAGGGTTTAGGGCTTAGGGTTTAGGGTTTAGGGTCCAGGGTGTAGGGTTTAGGGTTTAGGCGATGCCCGGACACATTACTCTCAACATGCGTAAGATCTAATGTAATCTAGCATAGGGTGGCATAACGTAGAATATTGCCAGACGCAAGCAACACAGCAGAATAGAACAGAGCATCGGGCAGAATGAAACCCTACACCCTAAACCATAAACCCTAAACCCCTAAACCCTAAACCCTAAACCTAAGCCCTAAACCCTAAATCCCTAAACCCCTAACCAAAACCTGGTGATCTGAGCTGAGGTCGCTACCCATCAGCTGCCTGTCGTGCTGGGTCTGCCAGAGGCCCTGGTCGCGAGAAGCTTCCCCTTGCAAAGGCACCATGAAGCCTCAAAGTGTCAAAAGTGCAAACCCTAAACTTTCCAAAAGCCCGATAACCCACAACCCTCAACCCTAAACCCTCAACCCTAAACTCTAAACCCTAAACCTAAACCCAAAGTCCACATGAAGTGACCGGTGGCACCTGCAGCTTCTGCATCTCCACAGGAATCGACCCGTTCTTGGCAGCGAGGGCATGTGGAACCTGCATTTCCGAACCCCCCCCCTTTCCCAAAAAATAGTATAAAGATAAATATATATATATATATGTATTAATAACAATAATAAATAGTAATAAGAAGAAGAAGCAAAGTGTAGTGTGTTAAGTTTGGGGAATTGAAGTTTTAGGGCTTTTTAGGGTTTGGAGCT